ATGGTCTAGACTTGTATTTGGAAGGTGATCACTCTGAATCTGGCTGGGATACCAGCTGTCCTAACTGAGAATTTTTGTGATTTTCCTCATTCCCGCCAGGAAAATTCTTGGAGAGTACCCTTCATTATGCTATACTCCTTCCTTCCAAATCTTATCCAGTTTATCATTCATCTATCGTCCTATCATCTGACACTATACAGTCTCAGTACTGACAGCATTATTAAGTAACCCATGAACTGAAAAAAATATAAAGCCCTTAAAACATTTTGTCAATTAAGAAACCAAGACACACCACAGAATTGACTGGCACGGGGATTCCGATCAGGCTTGCCATTAGTGGTGCAACATCTGCCTGACTGACATCACTGCGAGACAAATGTCCCAGTCTCCAGGAAGCTGGACTGGAAGGTTCAGCGCTTGTACTTGGTCGGGGTCCTCTCACACCTGCACCCCAGGCAACCAAGGGTGTCTCTGTCTCACTCTTATCACCTGCTCCATGGGAACCTACAAACACACATAAAATTGCCAGCACCTCCTGGATAAATTCAAGGAATGTGCAAAAGTGAAATTGCTGACAAACATTCATCAGTTTATTTATCTACTTATTATTTACTTAAAGTTCAGAATGCAGAGCAATACATTATATGATGATTCCTGAATAATGAAGAGACTAAATTAAAAATAAAGTCTACATGTAAGAGTCCAGAACCTCCTGAATGCAAGCCTAGCATTCAGGAGGTCCTGGATTCAAAACTTGTACAGGACACCACCTATCCTGATTAATGATTTCATGGTTTTCCTCAATATCTCTAGGAAAATTTTAGAAGAGTATCTCAATCAGGCCATGACAACTTCCATCCAAACCCTTTATGATTCACCACTCATCAGTTACCCTACCATACATTGTTATATAATCTTGAAACTGACAGCATTGTTATAATCTGCCCCCATTAATCAGAGAGGACAGAACAAGGATATGGAGATGGGCACCGTATCTCAAATTTTATGGAAAGAGGCTTAATGGATAACCCATAAAGAGAAAGTTTAATTAGATTTGAAAAATGGGAAGAAGAGAGGAAAGAGCTGGCACGAGATCAAAAAGCAAAGGCGATGGGAAAACAGAAAAGGTTGGAGACTTCTTGCCCCTTGACAGGCATAAGAAGGAAATGATACTTGAGGATGAAGAAAATATCCAATTTAGTCACTTTTTAGAGTGTTGTATTTCAGCATATCTTCCAATTTAGGATCTGCCATCCTTGGTGCATTTATGTTTTCCTTACATTTTTGAGGAGATTAACCTTTCCTGAATTCTTACAATGATATCTTGTATAGAAAGCATATAATGCGTTCCTCACCCCAGTCTGTCATGCCATGATCTGATGTGAATACATAAGCTGTCTTCTTGTCATGTTGATAAAACTCTTCGATCATTTCCTCAATTCTCTTGATTCCTGCATCAACAACTCTTATGTTCTCCTTGTATTCTCTGTTTCAAAACAAGAAACAATTGAAATATAGGGGAAAAATTATAAAGATATATTCTATAGATATCAATCATAGGAAAAAAATGTGAAACTTAATGGAAACAAGACACTCAGAAGAGGCAAAAATAGACTGAAGAAGTCTTCAGAATCTAGTCTTCTTCATTGGGGGGAAAAAATAATGTTTCCATCTTCAGCTCCGAAAATGTAGGCAAAATGGAATTGAGCCCTTCTTGAGAAGCTTCCAATTCTGCAGCTACTCAAGAGCTTCCCAGTATTTTATGGAACCTGAAGGTTCATTACCATGTTCACAAGAGTCCTTCACTAGTCCCTGTCTATTTTTCTGAAATGTCAGTATCTGCCTACAAGGTTATAAGGTGTCACAACCCAGAATACCAAAATCTAAACATTCACTGCCATAAAAATCTCAAAGTATATATACATGGAAGGACAATAATATATTGTGAACTTATTATATTTACATAACAGGAGTGCTACTAGAACCCAAAGTTCAACATTACATACAACAGTACATAGTTGTCTTTCTAGGCAACAAGGCAGACTGATGGATGACAGATTTAAATCACATATACTATACTGCATCATATGGAAAGGCAGGTAGCTGCACTACAGGCGGCTGCGAGAACTACTGAATGAAGGGTGAATATATGTACACTGCAAGTATGTTTTTGAGTAACTTATAAGAATGGTAAATTTCCTTTGAAATTTTTGATCACTGAATTAGCACTTCAGATCCCAAGCTACAGGATAACCCACAGTTTAGCGTACTTACTGATGGACCAGTGACTGCCCATGGAGTGGAAAACTATGATCTGATTTTTGGCAAGACTGAATCACCATCACACCCACTACAGCTTTGAAACCTGTAAGCTATCTACTATCTAACACATACTGAAGGCTGAAAGGGCAAAGTAACTGGAGTAAGACTCCAAACACTTACACTGAATGTGGTTTATGTGTATGACCAGCTGTATCAAGTCCAAGAAGATGTAGGAAAAATACAATTTTATCTTGATGAAGTTTTTCATTAAGAACAGCATCTGTCTTGGCATGGTTCAGAAATTCCTCAACCTTCCTGAACACCCATGTATCGAGCCTTGTTGTGGATCTTCTTCCAGAGAAATCTTCAACTTCAGAGCCATACATGTCTATATAAACATGGTTTCCACTTGCACCTGAACAAAAATGTGAAAGGTTTATCTCACTGTCAACTAACAATGCTTCTGAGACACAGAAGGCTGCTTTGGTGAAACAGCCATACTACATCTGTGAGATGCTTTTAAGTTGCACTTAGATTGTGTTAGTCATTTCATCTTCTTATCCACAAATGGCAACATTATGCTCCTGTGGTATTTCCATGACCAAAAAATACTAAAAATTTATTAATACATACCAAGGAAGATCTAAAAATAAGGTAACAATGCAATCCCAGGGACTTGCTACCATTTGCATGTTGCAGCAAGGGTAGGCAGGGTTACATTTAAAGAAGTCTTCAAGGGTGACATTTGAGGTTCTCACTGTGGTGGATATTAAAATTACTGTTTCCTGCAACGTAGAGTTTGGTAGATAGAAATAAACCTGGTTCTTCCATCTTATGGATACCCAAAACTTCACTCCTTCTTTACAAAGCTACATAAGATTACATCCTTACATAGCCTTAATCTTATGTCTTCAGAGAAATAAAGTTAAGTACTTCGATAAATTACATATTAAAACAACAAACCTTTGGCAAACATGGGAAGTATGTCAGGACTTCCCCAGGACCATGTGTACCGACTTTCATTGAAAACAGAGTCAAATTCCACTGGATTGTCTTTCCAACCCTATAAAAAATAAAATATAATAAATAAAGAATAAACAGTAATAAAACGAAAGGATAGACAACATACAACGATAAATACTTTATTTTTTAACCATATAGTGAATGGCCTGCACTATGACTGTATTTACAGGCATGACATGACAGATAAAACATACTATTTCAAGAATGTTCTGGATAGTTCCTGGAGAACTGTTGGGCAAAAGTGTACTCTTTGTTAGATCTGAGTTTCTCGGATTGGTGACTATGAGGAGAACTCTCTTTTGAGATGTGACACTATGTAATCTGTTAAAAGTTTACTGACATTTCACAGGAACATGCTGCTTCCATCTTCAGGGTCAAGAAGTAAACTGGGCAAGTATATGGAATCACAACCTAGAATATGCAGTGACTAAACAATATATTGATTGTGTACACATGTCACTGGATTTTAAGTTTATTAACAGCTGTATAAGGGGTAGGCCTTCTCGGCCCTTGCACCGCGACCTACAGTGGTCTACTGTGCTTTTATAAACAGTTACTGCATCTAATGTGTAATTCCAATCTATTCAAACCTCCTAAACTGTCCAAGAATTTAGGTTCTATTTAAAATTACTAACCCTAAGTTAAACCAGTCTAACCTACTCGAAGCAACTGTAACCGTTTTAAAGACACACTCCATTCTGACATAAAAAGTTCATTAAAAAGTATAAGAATAAAATAACTCATGGCAACAATTTCTAACCTTGGCTATAGCAGATGGGTCCTCATATAATCCAGCAATTAATGTCACATATCCAGGGCGCGATTCTGTTGGTACTCTGGTATGAGAGACGCCCCATGCTTCCCTCTCCTCAATTACATGCCTGCAACCAGCCAAGTTATCAAAAAATTTAGGTTATGTTCATTAATTATAACACAATAATGCCTTAACTTCTCTGTTGCTGCATACCTCAGGTGCGAGGCATTCGTTTTAAATAAATCATCTGCCCCCAAAAAGGAATCAGCACGTAAACCATCAGCAACCATTAAAACAAGCCTGCGTGCAGGAGCTTCTAGAGGACTGGACTGTGGTTTAATGTTATGAACTATTGGCGATTTGAAATAAATATCAACCACTGATACTAAAAATGCAATATGCACAAATAAACTACTAATGATGAGAAACATTGTCGAGAATATGCGTTCGAAATGCCCATTAAACATGTCTTTCCCAGTACAAGGTAACAAACGGGATATGCATACAAAAGTAAAGCAGCCAGGGATGTCTCTATTTCAGAGGAAGGACGACAGCCAGAAAATGAAATGGACTGAGAAATTGGTTTCTAATTCAAACAAACTCAAAACTAATAGTGTCAATTAAAAAAAAATTGGTGGAAAAATAAATTGGCATCATAATCATAACATCAGGAACACCCGTATATCTAAATTCACTGCCTCACGAACGAGCTACACTTCTGCCATCTGCCATTTGCTTAAGCAAAGACGCTTTTCGGTTAGTAACGCCTGGTTGTCATCGTCAACAGCAACCGTGTAAAACATGCGGCCCGCGGGCCGCATGCAGCCCCCATAGCCACAAAGTGCGGCCCCTCAACTTTTACAGCTAATTGATATTAAAATTTTAGTAGAAATATTTTTTTGTAAAGACAATTTTCCAGCAGACCACAAGGCAGGAAATCTCACGCAGACATAAATTATCAGGCTGCAGGAAATTCAATGTTTTGCTATTTCTAACACAATTTCTTGTGTAAGCTCTCTTTTTACATATTGAAAAGTTGTTTGATACTTGCCAAAAATTGTATTCTCTTGCTTTTTAAAACTGTAAGATATGTGACTTTAGGTAATTATATTGAAATTACTCCTAAATAATAAATAGAATTAAATTTCCTTGTATCAAAATCTAATGCATATTTCTATTTTGAAGTGCGGCCCTGGACTATTATTTATAGGGCTGAGGTGGCCCTCTGTACAAGTTGAGTTTGACATGCCTGGTCTACAGCGAATCCGGGGTAGGTTGCGGGAAGCACACCCGAGGTACATGAGAAACAGACGGGCGCGCGCACGCACGCACACACACATATTCAAAAGAGGGAGGGAAGAGATGTTATACTTAGCATGTGAACGGGATTCGTCTGGGTTCCATAAACGCGTGGGAAATTCCCTGACTGAGTAACTATTAACTTCTCAAGAAATATTCAGAACCTTGCACTTACTCATGGAGCTGAGTCCTCCTTGAGGAGTCGCCAATTCTGCAGCTACTCAAGAATTTCCCAACATTTTATGGAACTCGAAGGTTCATTACCCTGTTCACGAGAGCCCTCCACTGGTCCCTATCTCGAGCCAGATCAATCCAATCCATATCATCCCATCCTATCTCTATGATCCATTTTAATATTGTCCACCCACCTACGCCCTGGTCTTCCCAGTGGTCTCTTTCCTTCTATATCCTATACGCATTCCTAGTCTCCCCCATTCGTGCTATATGCCCTGCCCACCTCATCCTCCTTGACTTGATCATTCTAATTATACTTGGAGAAGAGTACAAGCTATGACGCTCCTCATTATGAAGTTTCCTCTAACCTCCCGTCACTTCATCGCTCTCCGGTCCAAATATTCTCCTCAACACCCTGTTCTCAAACACCCTCAGTCTATGTTCCTCCCTTGATGTCAGATAGTGTTTTTTTTAGTAGTAGAACTGGAGTGAGAGTGTACCTCGGCACTACTGCCTCAAACTGCCATATTGCACAAGCTCCTGATGATGAATGATCCCGGAGCACTGGTGTAACGATAATTGGTAAAGGGAAAACAGAAATGTTTGGAGAAATTGTGCGCCATTGTTTTTTCATCTACCACATATCCTACGTGGACTATCATATAACAAACGCTGGCTTACTCTTCAACACTAAAGATGGAAGCAGCACGTTCCTCCGAAACATAAGCTGACTTTCGACGGACTACACGGCGTTGCATCCCAAAAGATAGAATTCTTCAGGATTTTTACTTGTTTTTGTTAACTGCCGACTTTATTTGACATCATGAAGGACTTGAGGTTCTCACAGCGTTAGTTAAGAAGTGTACCATATCTTCTGAAATATAACGAGTAGTCCATTGAAAGTCAACCGACGTTGAGGAGGAACATGTCACAGAGTTCTGTTCGCCACTTGCTTTCACACTGGTTTCTCGCTCGGCTTATTCAACCCTGAATATGAAACGTCGGTTAACTTTCGACGGACAACCTTAGGGCTGTAAAGTTAAGGTAAGGTAAACTTGTCCAGTACTTAATTAAGCACTACGGCATGGTGTATGGTGGAGTGGAGGTGTAGCTCCACCATTCTTGACCACAGCACTAGATGGAA